AGTTAACATTTTCCGACTCTTCTTCCCCATGCTAAATTCAATACTGCATTTAGAACTGCGGGCCACTTGGATTAACTGAAGCAGGGTAAGCTCTTTAGATTATCAAATGTCACATGAAAAAAGACCAGGAAATCTGGGAATGAGTATGTGTTAATGCCTTACTAGGGTGGCATGTCCTCAAATAATAGTAGACAGAGCTTCCCGTGTTCTTTCAGGCTGAGCTGAGATGCCAAGTGTACAGAATTGGAAGCTGTCTATCAGGGTGGTTATTTGTTTGGTTTGTTTTTTTTTTTTTCTTTTTTTTCATTTGCTTGATACAGACAGCAGAGACAAAATACCAAAAATGCCTGAAATCCTTATGACCTTCCACTGCAAACTGAGAACTTTGTCCAGTAAGCTCAAATTTCTATTTACTCTGTCAGCACTGTCTCCACACTGTTGCTTTTTTTCTGTCTTCCCAGTTTATCATGTGCTGGGAGACAGCTTCACGGGCACTGGGCAGGAGGGGGAGCCTGAGCACATTCCAAATCCCTTGCAGGTTCAAAATACTAAGTCTCTGTGCTGTGGGTTGCTTAAAAATACCCATAGTGCAAGCAAGTCAGCATGCAAGCAAGTATTCTGCAGCCATCAGCTGGCATGGCTCACATTTCCATGTTGTGTGCTGATGCCATAGTGCTCCCTAGCTGGCCCCATTTACACTGTCTCCCATTTATGCCAGAAATACTCAGGCTACTATGGAGTAAATGGTCCAGAAATGTGTCCAGTAAACTCCTGCGTCAGCTTCTCAACTAAAACATCCCTGATTTCAGCATTGTGCTCTGGTATTCCTCCATTCCTGGTAAAGTAGAAAGTGTTACTATGGAATACTGCTATGACCTATAATATTAGACACTGTGTATCTATTGCAATTCAGAAAAGATAAGGATACCCATAACCTTTTATTGAAATAAAACCCAGCAGCTACACTGAACTCCTTTGAAACTAAACAGAAAATTGAAGTGTACAGCAAGTATTTTAGCTGACGATTCACTTACCAACCTGATGTATCTGTGAGCTAACTACTAACTGGGTATTCTTTGTGACTGTATTTCAAGTTTTACTTTGTACTGTGGTAGTGTTCTCTGAACTTTGCAAGGCAAAATTACTGCATCTAAACCCTCTGGGTCTAGAAAAAAGGACAAAAATGCGACATTTCTGGAGAGACTCATGCACAGAAAATGCATTGGTGTTTCCTAAAGAAACTCGGCGAGTCCAGAAGGAATTGATGCTTTGACCAATCATGCTAATGAGGCTTTTGAAAGAAGGAGGTGTGCTTAGCGCTACTTATCTCTGGACATAGAATCTATGGGAAAACATGTGGAATATGTTTGCAACGTGATGACTGCAGCTATATGTTCTATATGTTGGTGTTACTGAACTATCTGTTATCAAACCACACACTTCAGCACATAGGAGGATTTATGCTTACTGCAAAGCCCATTAAAAGACTTGCAGATTCCCAAATCAGACAGACATGTTGCCTTCTGTATCTTGCTGTTATCAGGATAAAAAATGTGCCTTTTTTCTGGCTAAGCACATTGATTTGGCTGATTCTCCTCACATGGCAAAGAGGCAACAAAACATTAATGGCAAGTTTGTCTCCACGGACCAGAAGTCAGCTTGTCCGTGTGTGCACATGTGAGGTGGGCTGGGGAGATGGGCCTGGAATGGCAGAGAATTTGCAGAGCAGCTGGTCCTATGGGCTCTGCTTTGCACAGCCTGGGATCATAAACGTATCATCATGGTTGCTAACAGCAAGCAGGAGGTATCTGTGGAATCACCTGAAATGGAATGATTTGTGGAGGCAAGTTCATCTCGTCATTTTTCTGTGCTCACAGTACCAGAGCTTATTGTGTCAGTTATCACTACTAAAGCCCAAAAGAAGCCCCTCTTCTTCAAAATGCAGACAAAAGCAACCCTTGAATATATGCACAATAATGTTTGGATTAGTTAAAGAAACCACATTTGCCAATAGGAAAAGAGAAGGAAATTTCTAAGCTATTGAATAACACTGCTATGCTTGGAAGAGATTTTTTCTTTTGTAATTCCCTTTTAATTTCCTCCCATCAGAACTGCTGGGAGCAATCTGAAGCTAGGTTTTCTGGAGTGACAAAAGGAGCTGGGCCACTGACTTCTGTTGAAAAATCAATGGACCTGAAAATGTAAGATAACATTTTCATAAACGCATGAAGGATTTGAGGTTTAAATTCCTTAAAACTCTCTAGGACTTCCAACTCCCCAAGTCAGACAGGGAAAAGGATGATCAGCAAACTAATCCTTATTAGCACATATGTGGAGATTGCATGGAGGAACATGGAGCACAAGAAAATGAGGAGGAATCTGAGGACACAGAAGAAGATGGTGTTCATAAGATTTAAACATGGAAGTGTAAAAGGCAACAGGAGAAAGGACAAAGAGAAAGAACTTCAAAATATAAAAACTGAGATGTTAATTTCAATCACTTAGATTTTCCTTTGATTTCAAGATCAGACCTCAGTAAGACCACATAAAATTGAATAACTTCATCATCTGACTCAGTGCCTACAAATTCAGCACAATGCATTTCTTCAGTCTCCTTCTTGATCAGATTATGAAGTGTCTGAAGTTAAACTAAACTATGCATTCTGGTAACCTTTCAGAATAGTTTTATTTTCTTCATTTCAATTGTCTTTTTTCAATTTAAAAATATTATTCAAATACCACATTTGGATGGGTAGTGACTACCATGACACTGTGTAGAAAACCAAAGCAATTTGAAGCGAGCTAGACATTCTGAGTGCATTTTTAAAATACCTTATTGCTTAAATAAAATAAACTTAAATCCCTTAGTCTAGCAATTACTTTCAGATGTCTGATTGTTTATTTTTGAAGAACTGTCATATCAGCCATATAGAACTGGCAAGCCCCAGTTTTATATGTTCACAAGCTTTCTCTAACAGCTGCTCCCTGCCTTACATTGGGAACTACGTACTCATCTTCATTGTCTCTTGTATTTATCTTAATTTTGCTGCATTTTGTTTTATTGGAGGAAAAACTTAGCAGAGCTGTTTGTGGCAGGGTTTAGTTACAGGAAACCCAAAAGCTAAGCCCCAGTTTCAGCTGAGACAATTAGACTGTTGATTTTGGTAGGAGCTCAGGACTTCTATTGGACCCAAATGCCTTTCAAGTCTAATTGCCAGTTGATGCTCAAGTCTGAAAATTTTCTGTATTCTCACTACAGATCTGGGGCTTTGTTTCCTTTCAATGTGAGGGATATTTCTATCCAGATCTGAATGTTTTGCTGAAATTCTTCTCTATTCACTGGAATAGATTAAAAAGAAAAGAAGAAGGAAATTACATTTTCCAGAACTTTCAACCTTTCCCTAGTTCTCTCTTTTTTTAATTCTCTATGCCTTGAAATCTCTGTGGTGTAGAGGATGGTATTTTTTTTGTTTTCTGAAAGCAATTTTGCCATGCATGAAAAGTAGCACGTACTAATTTGCAATGACTAAGTTAACCATTGCTTTTTACTGCCTGGTACATATATTTAGTAGCCCATATTCCTATTTCACCAGCTGTAGGAGAAGGATTCTGATGTAGTGAACAAATTGTACATTTTTAAAAGTGATCAATATGATAATATAATGCTGGATAATTTCTCTCTTAACCTTTGAAGTAAACTAGTAATAAAGGCAGTTTTCTCACAGAATGTTTTAATCAGCTGCTACATAACCCTCACAACCAAGTTATCAAAATCTACTGCCATTCTTGGATGGATGTTTTATTGCTACGTGGATTGGGCTCTAAAACTTTCTTATAGATGCTCTGGGACAATTTAAATACTAGCAGGAAAGTATTTTGTACTCTATAACATTTGTGGGTTGGAGCCTTGGGCTGTATGGTTTCTTTTTTTTTCTCCTTTTTTCTTTTTTTTTATGTATTATACCAGTTTAGCACCTTGCCTAGGGCCGGTCCCAGGATCCTCACCACATGGTGCGGATCCCATGGCCGGCTCCAAGAGCTGTCAGGCACCTGGCATTGGACAGCCTGGCCCTGGGCCAGCCCACCCCAGTGGCTGGAGAGGCCATGTTCGTATGGACCCATGCGTTTCCTTTCAGACATACCCTGCAGGATTACTCTGCAAGACAGACAAACGACAGAACGAGGCGCTCATCTTCCCAAGGAGGCATTCAAAATGTCTGAGTAACTTTTGTGATTAATTCTTAGCTTTTGGATGCTTTTAATTAGCCATCTATAAACCAAAACAGAGCTCAGGACACTACTGCAATGTAATTTGTTAAGCAATAATGCATTTTTTCTTCCAAAAGTCACACTTGATAACAAACAATAGTCATAGGCTTAAGATGACTGTGGATACTATGAGCTAATGTCTAGTTGTCAGAAACTTTTCCATTAGGCTTAAAATGATGTTTAACATACTCCTCCCGTTATTGAGCTAAACGACACATTGTATTAAACACGGATTTCCAAATGAAATGCTGTTTGTCTTCGCATACACATACGTAAAGATGCAGACACATGTACATACGTATTTTGGATATCAAAAGTATACCAGTAGCATAGTTCACCCTATTCCCAAGACAGAATGTTTTCTTGCCATCACCTTTTAATTAAACCCATTCTTAATCTTAATTGACTGTAAAACAATTTTAAACAAAGTTCTTTAAACACAAAATGCCAAAATTACATGTTCTTTCCTATTAAACTTCAGAGAATGTCTGAAAGAGTAGATCTTTTAATTATCTAGGAAAAAAACATGCTGCTGACGATAATCACCAAAATATGCGTATCATATATTTTTCTACTTAAAATTCAAAACCTTTGGTTTATAACAAACATTTGAGTAATTTATCAAATCCTACTTCATGCTAGCTTTAAGTCAACTTCAGTTTTAAGCCTTTGCGCTTTGGTTTTGGCATTATGCACAACTCATTCAGCATTTCAAAGCTGTATATACTTACATTCAGATTTCAGGAAAGGGCAGAAGGACAGGTTGTTTGCTTTTCACTGTAAGAGACCTAGATTTCCTGTTTGTGTAAGGCCCGTTGTTATTTTGTTGATTTTAAGATGGTCCCTAGAGGGAAAAGAAAGCTTATAAGAAATGTAGGAGCACACTGGCCTTCTTTTGCAGAAATACTGAGGAATTTTGCCCAAGATTTTTAAACATAGCGGCTTAGCATGGTCTCTTAATTCCATATTCAGACTTCTTAATTCAAGATCTGCTGTTCAGAAGTATGACAACCTGGCAGTTCATTCACTTTAGGAAGCCTTTTAAGTGCTTGCAAAAACTGATGTAGCAATTTGAATATAGAATGAAAATTCTAATGTTAGATATTCTTGTTGGCAATTCTGTAATAAATCAAAGCTTGGGTCTGGACTTCAGGAAAAGTTCCTTGAGTCTTGTTTCCACCCTTCTGAAGTGTAACTTTTACAGATTATTAGGTACAAAATTATCCATTTGAAGGATTGCTGAAAAACATTTACTTATTCTCATCTTTCTCCATGTGTATTTCCCCCACAAAAATGTACGTACAAATAATGTCTTGCAGTCATTGACCCCTGAGAGGCTTGGACTGATAGGAAGTGCTTGGGACCGCCATACACACTCCTAAGCATCACTGTACTCGAAATGTAAAGGTGTTAACAAGTGAAGCCGCAGGCAATACTAGCATCCTACATAAAAATGAACTATACCTATCTGTTTTATAGGCTAATCCCTCTCACACAGCCACTACCACATCATGCACACTTCACCTAACTACATCCCATTGGCATGGCTGAGAAGACAGTGGTTTGGTGGACTCAGCTGCCACCTGGATGTTCACGATTTGGTCTGAACCATGGATTCTGGAGATGCTGTGCTGCTACTTATGTTTGAGTACATACATAAGTGCTTTGCTGGATCAGGACAAGAGAGCCCAGTGCCTGTTCGTGTTCCCCTGCCCTGTGCTGCTGACAGCACGCTCCATTTGCTGCTCAATGTTCATCATGCACTAACACCCAGACAACAAAAAAAGCAGCTCTTTGATAAGCAGGGTAGTACTTTTCACACACTGATTGGCCTTGTGGTTGAAATTTTAAGTATTTGGCCTAAGATCTTCCTGGCCTGTGTTTTGCCTCTCCAAAGTCACTGGTTTCCTTAGTAGACAGAGTAGCTCCAGAGAGCCATGTACCCAAAGGTGTCTCTCAATTTACTTGAAGCATTTTATCAGCCAGGACAAAATGAAAACTCAAGAGTAGAAGCTCTCAACCTTTGTTCAGCTGAACTCCCACAGTGCTGCCTGCCCCAGGACCTTGTGTGCTCCAGGAGCTGAGCCCCAGATGGCCCATCCATCACCAACATGCATTAACCTTAGAAGAATAGAGCATCTGGAAAGGGAAGACAGTCAAGAAGCAATACTGAATTTACAAGGGAAACCTGCAGGTAGTTTGACTGTTTTACCTCAGATTTATTCCTGTCCCTTTGAGCTGGATGAAGAAATGTGCATCTGGCATCTTTCCTGAGAGGATTCTACAGCCTGAAGAGTAGAAATGGCCAATTTCATTGCCACTTGCTTCCTAGTTTAATGAACAGTGGCTTTTAATTGTCTATCTGGCCAAACAGGCCTTTTCCTTTAAGCAATGATTCAGTAACTCAGACAACATCTATACCCATTCATCACCTACAGAGATGGCCCTCGGCTCCAAAGTTTGGCTCTGGACATGAACTTTTCCACAGCTTGCAGGTGTTTGGGTTTGGGCTCTGGCTCAGCTTCTTGCATGGATGAAGGAAAGTCATGAATTCGGAGGTAGCTATTAATAGTTAACAAAGTGGAGAGCTGCCAGACTGGAGGGAATGGCAAGTTATTTTGCCTGTGCCTGAGGAGAGAGGGATTAGGCATTTCAGCCGAGCAGCTCATTCCTGCTTGCAGTTTGTACCATCCATGTTGCTGTTACTGCCTTTGTGGGATTAGAGGGCGGCTGAAGGAGTGCCAGCATGTACCAGCGGGTCCCAGTACAGTAGCAGTCACATCTGCCCTTTCTGCCTTCAGGAGAAGCAGGATTTCCCTGGCTTTCTGCCTTGCTGCTATCCTAATTCCTGCTCCTGCAAACCTGTACCAACCCCTCCTTGACAATCAAGAAGCTACAGAAAAATGCATAGGTGGTGATGGTGGAGAGAGCAGAAGGGAGCAGAGAGTCTCTGCATCCCATTCAGGAAGAGATGGAAGAAGTGGTCCCCAGGATAAAATCCAACTCTGGGAGCAGAAAAAGTGTCCCATCCTCTTGTAACTTCCTCACGCAGTGTCACCCTTGGTCCTCACAAAGTTCCTTTAACATCACTGATGTCCCCACCTTTTCCTTCTCAAGGGCCTTTCCTCATTCCATGCCACCACTGCTGCCCTTGCCTTCCTTGTATGCTCCAAGGACATTCCTGGCCAGTGTGTAACCCAACCCAGTTGGGTTTTGCGTAACAAAAAACCAGATTTTGGCTCCTGATGATTTTCAGGAGAGAAACTTCTGGCTGCTTTGAGGTGTTGTTCTCTATGAATCTTTCCAGTATTATTATTATCCAGCTCTTCATGTCCTGAGACTGATGGCTATATGTGCATTCTTTCACTTAACCTTCAGAACTGAAAGCTTATGATGATGCAGTGACTATTTTTTCATGAGATAATTAATCTCATGAAAGGTCTACTGCATGCCCTGTCTCCCCTGTGTTATTGGGTAATGTGGAGATCCTCATATATACAAGGCTGCATGGAGTTGTTACAAGTGGAAAGCATCAGTGTTGGAAAGAGCAAAGCAACACGGGACAGTCATTTTTGTTTTGGAGAAAAGAGGGCCTGTTAAGACTTCCTGGAGCAGCAAGGGGAGAAAGAATATGAAAAGAATGAGGGAAATCACTCCTAAGAGGAAAGTTAAGCATTAGATTTCCTGATTGGTACAGTTGCATTTCATTTCTCTGCTAAGAACCCTTTAGTGCTAATCTGTAGCTGAAAGGAGAGTGGAGGATTTGTTTTCTGTGTACAAAATCTTTATAGGAGGCAGCATGCATTCTCCTCTCTCTCCCACTTTGTTGGCTGCGGGTCTTTGCCAGGTGTGAAAAACTTGTATTTTCAATGCAAGTGCAGAAAGGCAACAGTAGAAATGTAGAAAATCACTGTAATCTCTTTAACGCAAAAACAGCATGACCCCTAGTTCAGTTATATAAATACAAACTCTATTTTAAGCGTAGACCTGAGTTGCTCTGATTCAATATCCAGCCCAAATGCAAATGACTTTTGTGGAATGAGGTTTGCAATGAGCTGGATCTATTTAGTAAAGTATTTCAGCCTGGTTTGGTGGAGAAAAGAGGAATCCGGTCAATTGCTGCAAATGCTTCTGTAGCAGAATTGCTGCTCTACTCATTGTTTGGGCTATTTTCTACTGAATTGTTAAAATTTTTGTGAGAGAGAACTATCGTGGAATAGAAAGCTGGGTCTGGAGCAAAGTCACAGGAATGTGCACACATAATTATGTCTTTTGAAAGTAGCACACTACGCAGGATTTCCTAAACAGTACCAGAAAATGTTGACATCCTGGAACTGACATTTGCAATTTCAAATAGCAGCTTTCCAGGCATAATTAGTGTTGTTGTAAATGTTTCAGTATCACATTTGGGACTCACTTTGGACATGCCAGTCCACAAAGTCTAAATATATATTGTTTTGTCATTTATCGTTTCCTTTTCCAGTGTTCCAGGAACTGACAGCTGTGATTTTTAAAGCTGGGAAGTACTAAATTGAAATAGTGCGTTTTGAAGTATTTATTATGTTTAATTACAGTGCATGAAAGTCGCTTTTATTTATAATTTACTGTTTTCTCTGGCCATAGTTCTTTTTTGTTTTGTTTTGTATAAAACACCTTTGATTCCCATCCTCCCTTATTCAAAGTACACAAACACTTCTACAAAACCACAGCTTTTCTCTAGACACAAACTAAAATACAGTTGAGGATATGAGAATTACTTATGACAGATGAGTCACATTAATATTTTGTTCTAAGCCTCGAGAAAAATGAGACACGAGGGTAGGAATCAGAACAGATCAAAACCTTTGGTGCTTTGTGATCCAAAACCACAGCCATCTACTGAGGTGCAAAATGTTCTTCTTTCACATGAAGTGTGAGAAAAACACAAAGAGTTTTGTACTACAGATGCTGGCGGCACACAATGTTGCAATTATTCTCAATATTTTGAGATGCTTGAATCAAAACCAAGATTTTAAGCAACACTGAGGTAAAAATATTTTTATATTTCTCCAGCTTAGAAAAAATATCGTGTTGGTCACGATTGCTTCAGAAAGGATATGCCAAATTTCTACCCGTGACTGATTATAAAAACAAAAAGGGGAATGTCATGGCATCTGCTCTCTGGAATCACTTTTGTCATCCTAACTCCTGTTGGGTCTATCAGACTTCTATGATGCTAGAAGAATCTTGGCTGTTCTGTTCTTGGAAAAGCATTGTTTTAATTGCCTTTTTCCACTACTTTCCTACTACAATGCACGTGGCTGATTTAGGCTGGCTATGGGGCATGATCTCATATGATCTCACTTCCTATTTAAAAGATGGTAGACAGGCACATTCTCAGTAGTTTCCACTTGCTATTAGACTTCAGAAGAAACATGGATCACCACATTTCATGTGATCAGATGATACCATCTGAAATTTGAGTCATCAGTAGGTGAACCAAGTCTTCTGTTCTTAAAACATGAGGAAGCTCTTCCTCATTCATTCCCTTTTTCTGACCTGGTACTCATGGGGAGCTGAGGGCAGCAGGATGCTGGTGTTCATAGAATCATAGAATAGAATCATAGAAGCACCAAGGTTGGAAAAGACCTCTAGGATCTTCCAGTTCAACCATCCACATACCACCAATATTTCCCACTAAACCATGTCCCTCAGTGCAACATCTAAACATTTCTTGAATGCTTCCAGGGTTGGTGACTCCACCACCTCCCTGGGCAGCCCATTCCAGCTCCTGATCACTCTTTTGGATGAGTATTTCCTGTTCTGAGTGGACTCTTAGCTCCATCCAGCCTTGGGAAGGACCTG